TTAGTATTCTCATCATATGTCTGCGCTCATAGTGGTCCTTTTCGAGCAGTTTCTCTGCATCCATTTAGGCGCACATATACAAGTACTCAAACCAACGTGTGGTCACTGTGGACGCGTGCTCGAGAAAGGGCCACAATCTTTCACTGACCCTCCGGAAATAAGTGCTAGCAATATGGCGTATGTGTCTTCCACTGAGTAGAGGTTGATGGACGCCACATCAAACAATGCCTCTCTTTATGTTTGAATTTTGTGCTGCCCAGAAATAAATGGTTGTTTCAGAACAGTCGTAGTAGGTGGTCTCCGTTATTTGTTCGTTCGGCTTAGATTCTGAAGGTGCCACCTAAAAGTGCCTTTCCATCTGACAGCCTACCTGTTGGTGCATTGAAGTCATCTGCAGCAGCAACCACATCTGAGCATTCAACTTTCAGTGGAAGACTAGATAGTTTTCGGTCGAACTCATCTGTCACTTGATACGAACTAGTCAGTAGTCGGTTCAGGGATTACTGAAAGAAAACAGCTAGCTTTATTATTCTTTTTAGTCTTCACTGTCCCATTCAGTCGAACAGTACATACGCGACTGCTAACTGGAACCCAGGTGAATGGTGCACTTTCTGCATACACCTGCAAGACCTCGCAAATTAGCCATTGGATCTGCGGGGTCTCTAAGAGTGAATTTTGCGGATTCGCTATATTGGTCTGGTGAAGTTGGGGGGGGGGGGGGGAATAACCAGACTTGGGTGCCGTTCGCATGTCCATGTACGCAGTTCATCTTCATGGTCCGAGGCACCAAAGTTTTGTGAAGCGAAGATCGCCGGTTGACTTGATGGAGGCTGTGAGCATTGAAAGCTGCAATGTGTAGATGGGAATGCTGTTTCAGGAGATCAGAGATACCGTTTCGTTATCTTGAGTTGTTATCGAGAGCTGAGTAGCTGTGACAAATTAAATAATAATGGGCGAAAGATGTGAGTAAAAATTAGAAGGCAATAATACGGAAGCTTGGTAATGATCTGAGGGGAAAGTCGATTGCTGATAGATTTGTGAGGTGGGTTGATGCTTTCATGACTGGCCACACCATGAGACGTTACTGCTTCTTGAAGTGCGTGAGAAAGAAATCGCATTAGTAATATGAATACGTGACCATAGAACCTATGAGAAATCTATTTGATACCGGTCGCATAAGGCCTTTTTGCAGGTTTGACGTTTTAGCTTTGATTGAAAACCTATACAGTTTCACAAGGACTGTGTTGTTTTTGGAGTTGACCTTTTCTAACCCTCTTCACATGATGAAGACAGCAGCAGCTGTATGTTATTGCTGGTCATCCATGGGAAGCACCTTATTGCTATCACATTCACTTCACTTTCGTATTCCAAAGTAACATAGAGATTTATCATATAACAAAATAGTTACTACCTTTTGTCTTACCACTATCCAAATGACCCTTCTGGTGTGGTAAGATCTCAAGGAATTGCTGTTCCCACCAGCATATCTTGTTGGGTCATCGTATTGTACAAGCCCGATCACCGCATCAAGGTAGCAGTTATGTTATGGTCCGCTCATTTCAGTTTTCTTAGCAGATAATATCGCTCAGGACAAATCTACCTAGGAGGATAAATGGCATAAATTGATTTCATCCTTAATCCCTTGAGGAAACTCAGTTATTCATTAAAAAGTCTCCAAAAATATCTGTTTCCTTTTTAGAATTCAGTTAACGAGAACATTACCATGAACCTCAGTGTACCAGAAGTTCCAGAATTGACGAATCCCAAACAAGAAGAGTTTCTAGAGGCTCTACGTGGTAGCATAGAGTTTTTTGTAAATCGCTTGCAAAGCAATAGCCAAAGAGGACGTAACATTTCAAGTGATACAACAGTTCAGGCACTATTTCTTACCTTGAATGATATGCACCCGCAATTACTAAACTATAAACATTACATGGAGGAACGTCGAGGTTAGTACTGTTACACATGTTTAGATTTATTTAATTTGTTATCATCTAACTTGGTTTTACTAATTGTTGGTTGTGACGGTTATAAATAATAAACTTTATTAGATTGTTACTAGAATATGAAGTGATTGATAAACAAACTAACTACCGCTTAGTTATAATGATAGATTAACGCACAATTGAATTCAGTAAAGTATGGATTTCGAATAGTATAAATGATTAATATTGTTTTTGATTGTGTTGTGTTTTTAATCCACGTATGAATATTCATTATCCATCTGCAATTGGACTCTAAATTTCAGCATATTTTGAGAAACTTCAAGATAAACTGAACCAGATTCGGGAAGCTCGTGAAGCGTTGGATGCACTGCGTCATGATTATGCTGTTCGTAAACAATTAGAAGAACAAGAAGCAGCTCGTATGCGTCAGCTTCAAATAATGCAGAAATTAGAAGCTATGCGTCAACAGAAGAGAGTAAGTTTTTGGATATACATTGGATATGATAGCATTGCTAAAAAATTCGTGCCAGGGGAATCGCTCTCATCTCGTCTGGTTTGAATGCTTGATGTAAAACCTACTTTTCCGCTAAACAAGACTATGTTTCAGTTAGTTTTGTGTCTTTCAATCGAAACCTAAACGCTTCTTGCTACTATGTAGCTAGCTAAGCGTGGACACAATTAAAGATACCCCCATTTTTATTGATTAAAAGGTGAAATGAACGACGAATATTCTTTTCAATAAATTCTCATCAATAATTACGATGGATAGTAGCTAGCAGTGGAATCCATGATGCGAATTTCGTTCCATTTGTGACTCGTCAGTTGGATGTACTTGCCTCCCAATGAGTGATGTTGTTCCCACCGGGATTCGGACTCGGGAGCGATCGCTTCAAACGCTAGAACGTTATCCACTACGTTTTAAGCGATGTCTTCAGTTGAAGTACTCTTTCAAGCAGATACTTTCTTGAAGATTTCAATACATTTGCTTTGAATTTGATTTTTCAAAAATAGGAGTAGCGAGTTATTCGATTGATGGACAGATAATTTTTATGAGTAGATTAGTTTTTTCGAATGTTTTAGTTTTCATATACTCATTACGAAATATGACACAAAATTGTCGTTCCACGTGGACGAATGTTGTACCTCAATATGAAGTTCTTCTCTTTCTTTGCAGGATTCTTTAGAATACAAACTGCGTATAGCACTTAAGCAAAATATGCAGTATCACAAGAATTCGGAGTACCGCAACAACAACAACAACCTATGCCATATACTGTTGAATCGTATCCCAATATCCCTACTGGCATGCCTGTAGACAGTTATCATCCAAACTATTCACTACCTTACATGTCTGGACCTAGCTACCCATCATTTCAACCTGTTCAAAATGGTTATCTACCAAGGGATAATAGACTGTATACCACACAGTTTCCGGATCCAGGTTCGGTTGTATCTAACCAAACTGGTCCTGGTGTATCTGTCAGTACAGGTTATGCAGCTCCACAATTCTATCCTTCATATACTTCCATCCAACTGGTCAGAATATTCAGCCTCATCCAACCTTCCAGCAGGGGACTCAAAATCCAGTACCAACTGGTTCTTTCTCCATGCAGAGTAAGTCTTTTTGAGCATGTCTAATCAATTGTCACTTCTCTTCCTCTGCAACCTACGACATACTTTTACATATACAAACAGTGTAGAACACCTAAAACTTTTAACTCTCCAAGTGTCATCATGACGACTAATAGAAGCCAATATATAACTAAGGTGGCTTATCTTGGTTAAATAAGTTTAAGTTTGTATTGATAAAAACCTGTGTATAGACGTCTGTATCATGCTTCATTCATGTTCTGCACAGGCAATCTCTTCATTTCTCTTCACCTAGATATGCAGGCGGCCTTACCTATGTATGCAGGACAGGAGGATGTCGTTCGCGAGGATTTAAAGGGTTACCCCACAAATCAAACATATCCATCGAGTCAGTTTCTAACCGACACAAAGACTGCTCCTAATTATGCACCGGCGGTGACTTTATCTAACGAAGCTCCTGCCAATTTTGTTGAACCGGCTACTACAGAAGCACAATTAATATCATTCGACTAGACAGTATAAATGAATACTTCAAGTCGATAAACCAATCACTCAGTTCTCGTGATATTTTTTCGAATCAGTTAGTCTTTTGTGTTGTTAGCCATTCTTACTTTGATTGTCTTTGCTTTCAATTTCAATGCTTGTGCTTATAAACTGTGTTTCGCAGATGAAATGATACTCTGATCTACTATTATTATACTGATTTGTTGACATTCTAATGGTTAACCCTATATATTTTCTTTCTTTTTATGGCTATACTGACTTGTACTTTCGATTTCTTGTTCACTATTCTGGTCATTTTTATTGAGAAATTTCATCACAATAATAGGGGGAAATAATGTATTCAAAACATTGGATAGATGACAGATACATCTTGCACATTTTCAGCTCTAAATAATACAGTAAAAATAAACAAGGAGCGAAAAACTGAATGTTCACCTGGAGGACTGTGTTATACCTTTCTAGATTTCCTAACAACTATGAAATCTTGTTACAACAAAAAACAATAATAACCGGAATAAGTGTTAGTGAATAGGCTACAACGATGAAAATGTTCATCTGTAATTGTTACTTTACTTTTACTATTCTTTTTTATTCAAAAACAGAAAAAAATAATAATTGGAAAATCTCATAAAAGAGCTATAATTTTTAAACAGTTCCGAGATAAATCTGAGAAATCATATGGTAATAGTGTGAGACGTGTACCTGTCTGGCTATGTGGGTCAAGTTTCAGAGTCAACTTTCCATATGGTATACTGGTCAATAATTTTGTGCATCAAATGCTAGGCTAAAATACCATCTTGCTTGTGCGTGTGTATCTGTTTCGAGCTGCTTTGATGCTTCCTAGACTCGTCTAGAAGTTCATTTCTTATCGATCAGCTGGTATGAAGCTCACATGTATCTTCTTGCAGATGACTGGTTTGTTATTGTAAAGGTTTCCAAAGGATTTCTGCCTTTGACGGAGCTAAAAGGCAACCCCACACTCCATAACACTTTCTATTTGTTCATTAAAGTAACTCATAGAAGCATTAGATTTATGCATAATCATCTGGCCGCAAACTGGTCTTACGTGAACCATAATATTCTGTCTTTATAGCTGAGAGGTCATAATGTGAATACTGTCAAAGGTTTTTTCTGTTACGAGTTGTTGTATTGCTCTAGATTACAAAGAATTATTTTGTGGCTGTTTAGTACGTTTTCATACCCATCTAGCTGAATCAACAGTCTGTGCAACGTGGGTTCTAACTAACAGGGAGAGGTATTTCATACATATCGTCCACCTTAACATACCAGTGCATTTCACTGAAGCCTTCATCTGCATTTAATTTCGACGGGTTGCATCATCATTATATCATGAGATGTGAACTTGGAACGTTGCCGGATTTGACCCAGCGACCACGCACATAGTCTCTTACATTCGACCTGAACCTTTTGGGGGTAGCGCAAGCTTCCCTTTTCTGTCAATAGAAATTGATGTCTCAAGGTTTTGAGAGGCGTCTATGTATATGTGTATAGTGTACATCTAAATCTTGGTAATCTTATTATCGATACTGGGTGGTGACTGGAGGTGAAATAAAAATTTGAACCGCCACCGGGTTTCTAGCTCGGTGCTTTACCAAGTAAGCTACGAGGCCCGACATCTGACCAGATTTTTATTTCACCTCAATCACCAAGGGTTTTGCCCGACTACCATGTGAATTCGTGACGCGTTACTACCGCTTGATCGTACTCACACTGGCTGCCCAGTCAGGACTCCTCATCCCATTCCAAATCTAATTGAATTAGAGAGAGGAAGCATCATATTGATTATTAATTTGACTATTTGAGAAAGCTGGCTGCGGTCCAAATTTTCGTTTCACCTTCAATTATCCATCACCCAGTACTAACAGTAGTCTCCCAAACCACGGTTATCTAAAATAATCAAAATAAAATATACTTGAAGGATTATTCTTCAGATACTCATTGGAGATCTACAACTATTATCGACTCATAGGTTCAAGTCCACTGCACCTCTTTCATCTTATTGCTTTAGTAGTACCATAAGCACTCAGGCGACAAGTGAAGCGCTTAGCTTAGTGCTCAAACCTGCGCAGTATTGATGATTGCTATACAGTTGGATATGCATTTAAGTATTAGCTGTAAATCACATGCCGCTACTTCCGTTCCGGAAATTCAACCTTTTAAATTTGCATACAAGCTATAGCTGGCTAGCTAAAGCACTCAACAATGAGTGTTTCGATTCCTGCCAAGATATGTGAATCGGAGTAGTGTTGGTTTGCGCTATATTCCTCTCTGCCTCAGGACCTACTAACAGAAACCTTCGAGTCGAGTAAGAGTTTCAGGTAAATGCGCCATGGGATGTTTAGCACGAACATTGCTCTATGTTTAGCTCTGTCTTGTAACAAGATGAACACTGAAAGACCAGTTGGAAGTTATCACATAGTGAGATAAATGATGGAAAACATTTGTAGCTCAGGATAGGGATGATGGTATTTCGATATTCTGTGAACTTTGATATCTTGTCGTGGACATTCCATTACCAGGCTTGGTGATATCCTTGGCACTAACTTCATGTAGAAGAATGTTACACGAATGCTTAGATAGTGTTTTTGTTGACTTTGGGTAGGGAAAAGATCTTGTCACACCTTGGCCTTTTTGACCTTGAATCTCACTCGGTCACGCTGGTGGAGAATCTTCGTTAGAGTGAGACTGTGCTATTTGTCGCTGTCACGCTCTTTGGTCAACCTCCCCTCGTTTGACAGATGGCTTTTTTCTTAAGTAGATTATAGATTGGGTACTACCTCTTAGGACAGGCAGCTAGAACGTCAAGTGAAACGCTTTGAAGCAAAGTTCAGCTGGCCCCCAGAAACGCTTCAGTTACCTAGCATCCAGTCTGAACCTGAATGAGACGTAGACGTTGGTCCTCCTTGAAGGTGAGAAAACTGTATAGAACATGAAGCAACATGACCTGACAGCTAGCCACCCGAAGTTCTCAAGAATGGGAGCAGGCAACTGCTAAGTAAAGTGATGGATGTACTAGGTAGTGCTGTTAGAATAGTTTACTTTCCTAATCATCCCACTATATAAGAAGGAAGAGAAGTCCTGTGACAACTTTGGGGGGATAAGTGTCACTAGTATTGTGTTCAGGATCCTAGGATCAGTAGTTATCTGATACCTAACGGGGTTCGGGAACAGCAAACTCAGGATAACCAAGCAGCTTTCAGACTGAGCTGAACGAGAGTGCAACGGTCATATTTTTACCCTCCGACAAGTTCATGAACACAGGCATATCCGATGCCCGTCACTTGCAATATTTCTCAACCTGAATGCGGTATTCGACTCAGTTGATCGTGGGATGTTGTGGTGATGTCTGATTGTGAAGGAAGTACCGAGCAAGTATATAATGCTTATCAAAGCTCTTCATTCAAACTCAAGCAGCCGTATAAGGACTTACGGTGAGTTGTTATCTGAGTTAGTCACAACTAGTGGTGTTCGCCAAGGATGTCCACTGTCACCGTCCCCTACTTAATTTCCTCATAGACGTATTAATGGACATAGCCGTAGGTACGTCTGACTTCACAGGGACTGATCAACCCCCCTACCTGGGAGCCACCTTGTTGACTCGGAGTACACAGACAACATTGTCATGTAAGACAGGGTCTTCCGAACGGATTGAGCGAAGATCTGAGTATGTTTGGTATGCGTTTTGCTGGTACCTGTCAAATGTAAGATGTGGTCCAGGACTGGTCTTCCTTTACCTACTGGTAGTATGAGGATGGGGAGTGAAGTGGTGAAATGCGTTGACCACTTTACTTACTTATGGGATTGTATCGGGTCGAACCCGCTAGTTGCTGACGAAATTTCAGCTCGGATACAGAAGGCCCGTTTGGCATTTTTTAACTTGCATCATTTCTGCACTGACTTGCGAGATATCCGACTATCTATCAAAAGGACGAGTACACTGTGTTTCAGCCCATTCTGTCCTTTTATGCGACGAGTTATGGCCGTTGAAAGTAGAAGGTAGTCAGTATATACAGGTTTCCGAGTACCAACGTCTCCGTAGCATTGCTCGCGTTTGTTGGAGGCACTGTGTGAGGAATATCTAAGTTAAATGAAGTTTCGTAGGCAAGTTGATCGACTAAGTTGTGAAGCTTCATCGACTGAGGTGGCTTGGACATGGTACTACGCAAACCGACCCACCACCTTCCTCAATGTGCAATGCCATAGGAATTTGGATTAAGTTGGAAGAGGGTTCAGGATGGCCAAAATAAATCGTAGCAGTTGTCGATAAAGTCACTGACAGTCTGAGCCGTGCGGGGAGATGTAGACTACCTGGCCGGTATGCCCGAGAAGATAGGAATTGGTGATGGATTTTTCGTGACATGGCTGGAAATCAGTCACAATGTGGTAGATGTATTCACTCTTTAGTATCTTCTAAAGCGTGAATATTTGCACTATGCGTAGTCTTTGAATTACTTATTCTGTCACAGCTCTTTCTACTTTGATATCACTTTTTGTTTACTCGTTCTTTTTATACTTCTATGAAGTTGTAGCAAGTTGGACTGATACGCTTACATGTCAGGCGAGGTTCTACGTTTGTTTTATGTCAGGCTGCCTGGGGAACTGTGGTGTTACTGAAGGCCATGTGAACTGGGCTTCAAACTTTTCCGCCAAACGTTCTGAGTTTTTATGAGTATCCTCACCCTTTCGGTGAGTTTCGCTAGCCATCCTTCTCTTCTGTTGTTCGTATCCTTAAGTTGCCGGCTGTTACCGAACACCGATGTCTTTTCCATCTCTCTCGCTTTCGTGGACCACCACTGCTTGCGATTATTCCGAAGACTCTTGGTCAATTTACGTTTCAGCTGCTTTCGCTTTTTATTACAGTCAGAGCCAGCTGGTATCAACCTTCTCCATCAATCAGTTCAGATGACTTTTGCTAACCTATGAATGTAGGTTAAAAACTGTCTTCACCGCTATTTCTACAACAGACCGAATATCACATCAGGTTCCAACAGTTAAATGTTTCCATATCTGTGCTCTAAATAGGTACTTGGAGTCCTTATCTTCCAATTGCATAGACAGGGTTTACTGTCGCATTTTCCTTTAGACCAGTAAGGCCCAGACATACATGACTACACACCAGCGTGTGATCGGAGTCCAAATGTGTACTCCAGAAAGAGAGGGAACTATCTCTAACGTTGACTTATAGCAATATAACTTATGTGTCCATAATCTGTTTGATGTCAGTGGACGCCATTCAAAACCACGCCTCTGCTTATGCTTGAGGTTAGTGCTGGTCACAAACGTGAGGTTCTTAGGACAAAACTGTCGCAGACGATCAGTGCTGTCGGTTTGTTAGCACGGGATTCCGTAGATACCTTCCAGCTGGTTAGGCTCACTTCTCCTACATCTGGACGTTTTGCGTTCTGTAGCAAAATTGACAGCTCATAGAATTCATCCTTTGTATCATCCGAACCGCAGTCGGTGGGTGCGTATGCGGAGATTTCGAATATAGCTTAGTCTCACGAGCCCTCCTGCTTCTTAAGATGCATCCAATAGAACAGCATATAGACAGCTGTTGACTGGTACCTAGTCGAGGAGTGCACTTTTTGCTCTACAATTCAATGCTATGTCTACATTAGCGAGTCCACCAGAACTAGCCACTGGGTCTCCGGACAGTCTTAAGGTGAATTTCGAAGATTTGCCACAATGGCCTGGTGAAGGTCAATTTAGTAAACACACTAGTGTCCCGCATATGTCTCAGAGACACAGCATACACCCACGACTAGAGATCGCAGAGTTTTGGTGAGAGATGCCTGCTGTTCAACTTGACATCAGGGTTTGGATGCTGAAAGCTCTAATATAAAGTAGACAGCGGGGTCTCAGGAGGACTATCGATAATAACCGACGAACAGAAGTACCATGACATTGTTGCCAACCTGTCACCTATGTGGTACTAATGTATGCGTAGTTCTATTAGATTTTCAGAATACTACTAAAACTTAGATTAGTGGTGACTTTTAAGTATAACCTAAGAGGGCAGTCACCAGGTGAGATGTTTGGTTACATTCACAGAGTAAGATGAAGAAATGAACGGGTTTGTTTGCGATCATCAAATCAAATGACTGTTGAGAAAGGGATTTGAAAAGCCACGGCAGTTTGACTTGAATGTAAAACTAACTCATGAAGTCTCTGACTGTGAGTCCTATCCATATACAAAAGTAAGAACATCCCGAAAATAGTCTTCAGTTTGTAAGAAATAAGAGTTTCACTGCTGACTTGAGAAATATTTAGATTTTATCGTGAAATCTACCAGTGAAGAGCTTAAATGTGATCACCAAATACGATGGATAATACTGCGGCAACTCAACCGGGTATTTCAAAACGATTCAATCCATGAGGATGCCAAAGAAGATGAAATAAACAAGGCGATTCTGGAAATAGACCAACTCTATAGCACAAGATATGACAGGAAACGACCTACGATATATTTTCACTGATTTCGAGGCTGAAATCAACTTGATAATGGTTGAATAGTACAAAGTTGTGCATGGTATCCATGTGATTATTGTTTTCAAAAGAGATTCTGCCCGTGATCAGATGACAAAGTATTGTCCACTATAAAAAGATACACACTTTACAAACCATAATCACAGAGACATAACTTCTGCAACAGAGATAAGATACTGAAGTCCAGCACCAAAGTGACTAAGCGTAAGTTGTTGCTATTTGATATAATAACCTATCAAAACGAAAAACAAATTATGATGCTTCACGAATTATATAAATCTGCATTCACTTAATTACTTTTCAGCCATGTCAGTCCTCAACCACTGAATTAAGAAATATAAAGTTACATTACATTTCACTTTCGTACCAGAATGCTGAAGACAGTTCTACAACTAATGCTGAATGTATCTTCGTCCCCTTCCATTAAGCTGGTACTAAAGATTATTCGTTAAGCTTGTTGATAGGATAAGAAAGTTGCATTTGTCAAGAAGACCAACATTCTGATATATCCTTGTATTATATGTAGATAGCTATATAGGAGTGGACTCTTGAACAATAATCTTAGACTTCACCCTTTATGATCACTCGGTTCCTCGAAAACGGAAAAGAAGCGGCAAAAAACGCTTAAGGTTTATTGCCCAGTCCAATATGTACAAAAATTAACGGTTTATATGCATTTGTGGTCTTGGAAAGTTCTACACTCTTCTAGAGAGCCATTTAACCAATCTGAGTCTTACACGTGTGATCACGTGGTTGTTCCCAAACGTTTCGGGGAAAAACATGTGAATCAACGAGTAAGTATCAGGTTGGTTGAAAAAGGGTTTAGGCATATGAGGCTTCTTATGAAGATTTTGTTCATCTTTCTGGACACTATAACATATCTACTGTCTACAATCCAATTAATTAATATAACTCAATCAAGTACCCATCTTTATCTATTGGGCTTATGTATGAGTTTTTGATGCTACCTAGTTGCACAGGTCGATGTAGGTAGGGCACGTTTTGAACCCAAAATCGATTACTTGTAAGTTAACTGCTTATTCAACGAGGCCATATCTCCATAAATAATTTGATAACTGATTATTTTAATCACTGTTCGTCTTTTTAATGCCATATGAGCAGTAACCTATGCCAGGTTTCCCTAAGGCAGACAAGTGATCAATAAACAATCTGGAGAATGTCGTGCATGAAAATAGATGCAATTTTGTCCTACCATCATACCATTTCCTCACCAATATAGTAAAGTAAATCAAAGTCATACAAGTTTTATTCATCCACGTATTTGAATAAATGATCATAGAGTATATTATTTATGGCCATTCTGATCTCCATCCTCCGATACTTCATCATCATCTTCTTCGTCTTCATCATCTTCATCCTCATCATCTTCGTCACCGGAAACTTCGCGATTCGCTTTTTCCAATTCATCCATTTGACGTTGAAGATCGGCTTCATCAGTGTCAGAAACGACACGCGGCTGAAAGGTAATAGTAAATTAGGATTAACTTATCAATAGAAGCAAAAGAAAATGCTGATACCTAAAATTGAATGGCCTAACTGTGGTAGAATGGAGTGTAGTGGGCGTTACTGATAAGAATGGATATAAGTAGTATATGTTGAAAGGATGGTAGAAATGATAAAGAATTACCAGCAATGGGTAAGGATTCCGCCAAGAGAAACTCAAGAGACAAGGCAAGCGTATGAAGAGCAAATCAAGATAGAAACAGAAGAGGAAATGAAGTGTATTTTGCAAATGACGGTTTTGGTGCAAGGTGTACCATATTTAACGACTACTGTCCCGCTAGTTGACAATAAATATTCCTTCCCTCATACCTATCTTCTTGCTTCTTCCAATTGGTGTCGCTGCTTTTGGATGTGATGAAGATTCTATGACCTGCAGAGTTCGAGGATGGGGACGTCGAAGTCCTTCTCAGGGACTTCGAGTCAGTCGCGGAGCTGGTGGATGTCCAGGATCCTGGCCAGGCAAAGGCTTGGTACCAGTCGATGAAGTTTCCAACTGTTAGTCTGAGCCGTGTGGGGGGTGTAGACTGCCTGCCTGCTGTCCTCAAGACGAAAGGAATTAGTGGTTGGGGACTCTTGGTGCCAATGGTTGAAAATCTGGCACAATGGCATAGATGTATTCACCCTTTGATGTCTTCCAAAGCTCGAACATCTGCACTATGCATCATCATCTAATTGTTTATTCTGTTACACAACTTTGATATCACTCTCGTTCTATCCTCCTGTTCTTGATATTCTACTGTGAAGTGTGGCAAATCGAACCTATGCATTTGTGTGCCAGCCTCTATGTTGATTTTGTCTGTATTTCTGCATAACCTAGTACTAAATGAAGGAAACAGTTCTACAAAAATAATTAACCGAAAAACTGATTCCAAATGATGGAAAAGATTTATAGCTCAGGATGAGGATGATGGTAGTTCGATATTCTCTGGCTTTGTTGTTTTTTCGTAGACGTTTCATCACCAGCCTCGATGACATCCTAAGCAAGAACTTGATAAATAAGAAACTGATTCAAATTGCATGAAACTTACAGCCTGTTGTATTTTGAAAGCTCCACCTTGGCTATCAATAGATTTCTTGATGACATTCAATACTTCATTCAAGTGGTCTAAGCCAGCAGCTCGATCCATTGTTTGTGTCGTTAGCACATAGAGTGGTGGTGCTATTAAATTGATCTAAAGATAATTTAAAAAAGAGTAGATTTTAATGTCGCTTATAACACCACAACAATTTACAATGAGATTCCGTTGTCATCATTCAATCGTTGAGAAACTGGAACTTGTGTCAAGGATTTAGCAACCATAAACTTATCGGTTTCTCCAACGCCTTTGTAACACAGTCTTGAATAGTAGGGAGCACTCTCATCAGGAACTTGTATGAAGGAAAGTATTCACACTACAGTGGGAGAAATTTATATTGCAAGAACAATGAGAAGTGGCCTTTGCCTGTCTATTTCATAGAGAATGGTGAATATTCCTCGCAAAATTGCATCAACCTTTGTTGATATACAACTGCTCTAAACAAAACGCAGTGGAGCTATGGCTCAATGGTTTATAGAGTTAGCTTTGAACTAGTGAATCATGGGTTTGGGCCCCGTTGCATCTACCGAGGTTTGAGCACTCGGGTAGCATAACTAGCTCTCACACAATAGATGTGGTTCATTGCCTATTGCACGGATGTGCATAATGTGGTTGAGTGCGTTTTGTTCGTCGTTCCTAAACACAACCGGAAATATTTTTATCACTCAGTCTTATTCAATAGCAATCAGAAAATTATTGGGAAAAATTGGATTGCTAACACTATTATCTCGTAAATGAATGATCAGGTGTTTAAATTCGGATCCTATGTGGCACAGTGCACATCTGTCTCAAAACGATAACAAAGTAGGCATGGAATTATAAGTCATGACAATAACAATTAACTGAAAACATGATTTTCTGGATGACAGTTTATAGCCTTAATCAAGATACCTGGCAGCAGAAGTAGAAAAATAATTCAATTGATAGTAGTTAGGGATTACTTGGTTTCATCGCAGATTGACATCACCAGGAGAGCCACTAAAAATCTAAGAGCACTACACAGCTGTTTCGTACAAGTTCAAGGCTCCTCAACACGATGATCACGCTACATTACGGATTACCATAAGCTGAACAACGCTGGTCATTGGATTAGTTAATTGGGTTTTTTATGCTAACGAAAGTGTTCGAACGGCTAGTACTTCCCAATTGTCTACACAGGAAATTGAAAAGGATACTGGATTAGTTTTGCATGACTGTTCAACGGACATCTACTTAAGACCTATCACACACAGCTTTCTCTGAGGTTTGCAATTTTAGGCGTTTTAAAATCAGCTATTAAATCCATACTGCTACCCCGGGAGGGCTGCAGCTTAAGGAGGAATATGCTATGCACCATCAGCATAGACTGCTGGTTGTTTAACAGGAACATCTTACTGCCCTCATACCCCGTCCAGTTAGCAGTGCGACTTCGCCGACGGGTTTTCATCACTATAACTACTTTTCAGCTTACACTTAACAGATATTTCTGGCATGACAGGATCTCAAGGAACAAATGTTCACACTAGCATAGCTTGTCGGGTTGTTCTAATATGCAAGCCCGACCACCACGTCAAGTTAGAAGCTATCGATCAGACTCCGACCCAATGATCAAGCGATAACGAGCTTGCTACAAGGTTTGAAGACCCCTCACTGCGTCGTGCATCCGCACTGCTGAGAAGTTCCAAACTTGGACGAAACAACTGTTTAGTGCTCTCAGGTTTCCAATGGTTCCATGAAAAATGACAATCCATGATTCTTAAAAAACTACTTTAAAAAGATAATTGTTAACTTTTGTTTCCGCTGTTTATAAGTGGTGTTTGTCTCAACGATTATAACAATGGTAGTTAAGACCTGGTTATCTATAATATACTTTTTGTTACTCAAGTAGGCGAAATTCTTTACACTTGATGAGGTTTAACTAACCAATAGAAAATTCCTACACTTAGTCGTACACTTAAAAGACTGGATATTTGTGCAAATATGCGGAAACCTACCTTGGTAGAGTTTCATGCAGCATGCAAGACGAATGAAACGATTGTAACCTCTAATATCATTCATTCCAGTAACATATCCAATAGCCAACTATCAGGTTGCGAAGTCATCCACGCATGTTGTGTCAGGTAAGCACAAGCCAAGTCATTTGTAAATAATGGTGTACGCTGATTAGTGATATACTACAGAGAGACAATAGTTCAGCTTATATTCAAGGAAATTAAAGGATGAATCCCCACCCACAATAAAAAGAAACGATCATCATTACTCCTTTCATCAACTACTTTTCACGCATTTTCCAACACCATTTGGAACTACTTAACAATACCTAAATATGTAATACTCGACTTCATTGTAACGAATTTTACTTCATTAAGACACATTTGAAGGCTTTATTTTTTGTAGGCTTTTAGAAGGTTATTATGGATTTTCGGAGGAATGATACAAGCTGTTCCATCGATTCAGTAACCATGTGCAGCTTAATGCACTAGGCTGTAAACCCCAAACAACGTTTGAAGTCATATGATACGAACTGGCTACCCGAACCTCAGTATATTGGATAGGGTTTTTGAACACGTAATGATGCAACTCAACCTCATCCATACGCCTATTTACTAGGTTATGAACAACATTTGTTGTATGAGGGTTTGTGATGTCGCTTAATTTTATCCAAGCCAAAGTAGGTGGGGGCGGAATTCGAGATGGGAACCCAGTGACTAAAAATTCAGCGCCTAGAGTAATGAGTCATATATCCAAGTAACACATTAGTATTAGATATCTGCATTATTCTAACTGGTCAGGTTAAAGTAAGGTAAATTATGAATGAGCATCTGCGAACTCATGTACTATGTTATATGAATAGAGAGAACAGTTGGCACCGAGTTATATATATATATATATATATATATATATATATATATATATATATATATATATATATATATATATTCAGTTCGGCATCGCCCATGGGTTGCTAACAGCCTAGAACACAAAGTGTCTGCATGGTTCAAGCAATTTGATGGAGAATCATCAACTGAGGAAAGGATGACATGGATGATGCGCATCTGAATTCAGTCTATTACTGTTGGTCTGAGTCGCGTGGGGTCCTCAAGACGATAGAAATCAGTGGTTGAGGGATTTGGTGACATGGCTGGAAATTGGTCACAACAGCGAGGACGTATTCACTCCTTGACGTCTTCGAAAGGTTGAATATTTGTAGTAACCATTATGTTCAGGTTGTTTATCCTCACACTGCTTTGTTTTCTTTTATATCAGTTCTTTGTACGCTACTGTGAAGTGTGGCAACTTGAGCCGATGCACCAGTGGGCGAGGTTCTGCTTTGATTTTGTCAGTCAGTCAGTCGGAATTCAGTGGGATTGAATAATTACTATGATAAGACTTACTATAGAGGTTGTCTGTGGTGAGGAAACGTCGGTGAATTTTCTAGAAACAAGTCAGTACGTTGGACAGTGAGTCGGTTTCCAAAACATTTTCAACACAATTTTGTTTTTTATTGCTAAAAAACCCACATTACCTTTCAGTTTTTACGGAACTACCATATTCATATCTCAAGCATTTCCGTAAAACTGTCGGGAAGTAGTAGGCTGATGTTGTTAATAATAGACGTCATCTATCGCTGAATGCTGACCGCTAGCCTTAGAAGATTCGCAATTAACTATATCCTTACTTAAATGATTTATATACTGTTCAGCTATCATACTTGAATTTCACATTTCAGTAGTTAGGATCTCTACAACAGTTGGTATGCTGCAGATCTCTTCGACATTGTATTTGTACGCTAACAACTTTTAAGCTGTATCCATCTGAAAACTCATCTTGACAACATTAAGAATAATAGAGCATTCATTAGTTATATGAACAAAAAAAGAATCAGAAAACAGTAACATAGAGTGGATCGAATTCAAAAACTGAGAAGCAACTCACCCGAATCGGAAGAGCATCTGAATTAAGCTCTAGACCAGATCGAAGTGCATTTCTGACAGCATCGATGCCGTCATATGTGAAACATGAAACTTCAAAATCGGCCCGAATTTTAACTGCTTTTGGTGTTAATCGATGCCGGATATCCGTAAGAAGCATTTCTTTAGTTGCTTCATCGATATCACATTCATCAAGAATCTCCGGTGAGCTGCAAGGAGACGAAATGTATTAGAACCTTAAAAATTGTAAATAGTTGGTAATATAATTATTCATTAGTGACAATTATTTTGACAGGTACAACTTCAATTGCGTGTATGTGAAACTAATAGCACCGTTTGGTTATCTTGTAACAACAGTAACCTGCCTCAAAGCTTGTTTTTATGCAACGGATTACAATTCCTTTAAGTAACCAGTCGTTGTCTCACATTTAAGTGACAGATAAACTTATAATAGCCTCAAGATCCACCTATTCTATGAATGGAATAGTATATTTAAAAACAAAAACCAGCAAAAATAAAAACATACAACTAGGGAGAAATTAAACCTACACCAAAAACTCATCGTCTGAATTATGATGTAGCTGATTCAATTATAACGTTAAACTCAGCGTCTTGAAGCATGCAGTATATCTAGTCGAATTCGAACACACCTCTGACAGACACACAGACGCACACAAACTGAACATACTGTAACTAAGCAATGTTATTATGTCGCATAGTCTTGGCATATTTAACAAATCTGTCGATAATCATTAAAAGAAAACAAACTGACTCGCTTTATGTCATAAGATCCTATCCCTAGATAAATAACTGGGAATGCTTTAAGATTATTACTAAAGACATAGAGCTGGATGGCTTAATTGTGAAGCTTTTACTGTCATTCTAGACATCATCAGCAAAAACTTAAGGAGGTGAGCTACAGGGTTTTCTTTACAAGTGGCTTAGTAACTTGTCCTGTTGGCCTTGTGTGTGACTGGTTGTTTCTGCCAAAGTATTTTTATCGTCTCCATATTTATTTCGATTAGCTGTCCTCCTCACGTGAACTGTAACCTTCTTATTGTTGCTCACTGGCTAATAGATTGGGTCAATTTCAAACAAGAAGTCATCCTCGGGATCCGACAAACGAATTCTTCTACCTTACATGAAGAATGTCTACAAGATCCCGACTAGATTATTGAAGCCTTTTGGAATCGTTGCAACTCACAAGCCCACAAAATCTCTTCACTCAATGTTATGTAGGTCAAAGAATACAATAGTAGAGAAAGACAAACTAAACATCTACAAAATAAACTACAGGAACTGCGAAAAACACTACTATGGACAGAGTATCCGTCTACGTGAACACCAACCAGCAGTGAAGCGTCATATCATACATACATACAGACAACTGCGGACTTGCATTTGACTGGTATTCAGATTAGTCAGCGATCAACAGACATATTCACATTAACCCAGTCTATCAACCAATAGGAAACAATAAGGTCAAAGTTCATCTCGACAGAACAACCGATCGAAATAAATATGGAGACGATGAGAAGACTTTGGTAGAAGCAACCAATCACACACAAGACCATCGGGACAAGCTACTGAGCCACTTATGAAGAAAACCCTGTAGCCCACCTTGTCTAGAATGATAATGAAAGCTTCACGATTAAACTATCCGGCTCAGAGAACACACTATCAAAATAAGTCTTATACACAATCAAATTTTAAATGTTTTTATACCAGAATGAGGAAGGGATGCTAGATGAATAATTAATTGACAGACTCGGTAAATTGCAGTGTTACACTGAACTAGACATCCAAATCCGATGTCTAACTCGCCATTTACATTTGATATCAATAAGAAATATACATAAAAGCAAGGTGATAACTACTTTGTCACTCTAATGAAAGCCCATAATTAGCGCTATTGAAAAAGCCTAGATAAGATAAAAAGAATGCATTATATCAGATTCACTTGATGAGTGAACATGTAAACAAACCTATCCACAAAACAACTTCACTACTATGATTACTAACAATACAAAAATTTTCATACAGCTATTTGAAGACGACGATTATGTAATTGACATGAAAGTGATACATTCTTCGCAAAAATAAAACTATCAATCAATATCCAGATAGTAAGTATGATGGATGTTGTGGAAGAATTTGCTTCGGTCCTCCTGAAAGATACTTGAATGTGTGATCCCAGAGTGTTTTGAACCCTCTACTGCATAAAACACAGCTTGTCAAGGTTATTCATAACGCAAACACATAGTTAAAAACAGGAAATAAACTCGCTTGTATGTCATTCATTGAGCGATTTGTTTCATACTGCTTATATTTCATAAGCGACCTGTCGTCATTCTTTTCATCCACCTTTGGGGAATTTTCAGTGTTAATGGGTTGCTGATACATCCGGGTTTTTTAATAAAATTCAAGTAATAGGCCAGAAAGAATAAGCCACAAGGAACTCTGGCTGGCAACGATCCAACCATCGCCCAACAAATACGCAGAAGAAAGTGGAAATGGATTGGATTGGACATACACTGAGAAGACCGTTTGGGGACATCATGCGCCAAATCCTCAAGTGGAAATCAAAGGAAAAACGACGAGTTGGGCGTCCAAGGGTGACATGGAAAAAGATCGTGTGGAGAAGAAATGAAAGGTTATGGGCAGCCGTGGAGCCAAGTTTAAAAGACTGCAGAGAAGAGATTGAAATGGCGACATGCTACTGAAGCCCTACATCCCACTAGGAACCCAAGGGACAAATAATGTATAATAAGAATAAGCTATGGCTCATACAATAGAACATAGAAGAAAATCTTATTTTGGTTTCTTAAACAATGGAATTATAATGTAACACTGTTAAGATGGTTCTAGGTTCAAATACAACTCCTTAAACTACAGTAGAACAGGAGTGATATCAAAGTAGATAAGAGTGCATAGAAAGAAAAGAAGTTTAGATATCACAGCTGGTAAAATGCTCAAGCTTTAGAAGATACATAGTTATTTGGGTGGATCACAAAGGACTTGAAAAATCGTATGTACAATGTATACACGGATTTTCAGCTGAGGAACATTATGAAGAAAGTTTAGTACTAACTTATAAATCTCCAGAAATACCGTCATGAGGACACATATTTGAAGACTGGTATTTCTTTAATTGTGCCAAGACTTTCTGGGTCTAGGTATGTGTCTAGCAGTAGCATCAAATGCAAACCCCCTATTTCATGGATCACAGCAATACTGACATTTATCTAGGTGGAGCAAAAATCCTTTGCCCTGGATTCTTATTGAAACTATTTCAATTTTCTTACCCTACAGAACCAGTTAAAAACTAAGACAACTAATTAAACGACCACTCCTAGAACTCCGGATAAAAAGTGTGTATCAGCTCATGGAAAATTTTTGTGATAGTCTTAATTTCGAACGACTATCAATTGCATTGAAAGAGCTTACTAGATGTATTAATAGCTCAAAGTTTTCAGTTTTCTGGTGCAACTTTTGATACGAGATAAGCAACAACAAGCTCTAATTTTGAAAAGAAAAGGTTACCACTAAGGATGGTGCACAAACCATGGCAGTTACAGGATGTGATTTCGGGACAGTATTGAGGCTAGTAGAAAAACTGATACAAATATGTCAGCAACCATTGAATTTCCTGTTTATTACAATAAGAACTCATCCCGTCGAATGGATGATATCATCATCATCAACATCGACATAGGACTAGGCATTACTGCATAATGGTCCAAGTTGTCACACCTCTTATTATCAAACCAAGTGGAGAAAGCACTAAGACAAAGCAATGGTGAACCAACCAAAATCAGTAGTAAAAGAGAGGAAAGAGGAATAAGAAAGTACCGAATTTACTGAGTATACCGATTAAGATGAGAATGTGTGGATACATCTGCGCCATTGACATCGATTCTGAGCCATGTCAACTAGGGTCTATTGTTGCGCGGAAACCAGCGGCCGGAGACTCTAAATGACACTCCACTGGTGAAAGAAATCAGTGACGACCAAATTATGATGACAGAGTACCCAGTTCATAAAAAGATGCTGTAATTATTCGTCAACCTCAACTACGGGCACAATTGAGCACTTCTGTTGAAACACTGGCTTAGCACTAAACAGGAAGTGAACAATGGTTTGTATCATTCTATACTGACTAAGAAAAGATTGGAAAACAACTGTTAACTTCCACTTAATTCAGCAAAATGTGCATCTATTTCTCTTACGTATGCCCTATCAAATCGCAAACTGATCGTAGTCGTACTTTAGATAATCGAAGACGGTCAGAACAAATGGGAACCAAAAGATTGCGACTATCTAGACTAATATAACAGATACCCATAAGCGTGACGTGACGAAGAGATACGCAACAGTGAAGTTGGGAAGCTAATTTAGGGCTGTCACAAAATATGATCACTAAAATTTAAGAAATTTGCACATTAGAAAAGCTGTTGTTTTCCAAAAGATTTTCAGGAGTGACTGCAGTATCAGGTGCGGTACTCAAGTGCAAAGTACTTTAAAACTATTCACCTAAATCTATGTATTCACGTTCGCCCGGCGGTACGACTTGATAAGATGGGAACAGAGTCACAGACCCACTGATCAGTTTGAAAATGGCTTTCGCTGTATGCGCCAATCTGGATCAAATGCTATCTCTGTTGGATTGGTTTGACCAAGAGTAGCCATCTTTTAAACCAATCACATTACTCTTTTGGCATCGGTATCGTTTTCAAAGACAGAATCTCACAAAGTATCATGTCCCGCACTGCAAATATAACCGAAACTATGATACAAGTGATTAACACGTTTATCAGTAGTTTGTTGAAGGTTAAATGATATCTAGTGTTTCCAACTATGTAGTCAAACTTTACGGTATTGTTTGCAGCATAGCAATATGCTGATGCAGTGGTAGGCATACTTGGCGATGGAAACCAATCAATTTCGTGAATATTAAGATCATTAGAACTTTTAGCTGTCTCATTCTTCGGTGCATAAGTCGACTAATAATGGAAAGATTGCTAAACCTAAGCCAGTAAATGAAAATTAACTAAGTCAATACCAGCTGTAGTAGGTTTAAACTAGACTAAACTAGACTATATATATATATATAAAATATATATATATATATATATATATATATATATATATATATACATCAGTAGAACCAAATACCTAATACATGCTTTAAATACGAAACTGAAGCAGTCACATGAGTTACCCCTCTCCTAAGTACCAGCGGCTACTACAGTACAGAGTGCCCGCTGGCAGTCTGAAGTGTCCTAGTGCAGCTTTATATAGATGGGAACATCGGAATAGATTAATGAAGGAGTACAGTTGCATAATGCAGATGTATACACCACGCCGTAAGTCACATCTACTGTGTTGCTACTGATGCTGCCTAAATTTCTAAACCTCAATAGATACCACAGTAAACAAAAGCATCATCCAAGACCGAATGAGGACAAACCATATCATTATCGATAGTCACTACTGAAATCTCCAGCAAACTTTCCAGATAGGAAAATTACGAAGAGCAACTTGCTGCAAATTACTCAAGAATGTTAGTAAGTATTTTCTCAGCTCACATTCCCATGAATAATACAAACACCGTACAATCTCTCAGCCAAACAATTATAGATACCCTGAGAAGTGCGAAACAAGCCAGTTAAGGCAGCATGGCACAGAAACAGATGCCAGTTTCTGTTGTGTAAGACAAAATGAACCAGTGGTACACAAACAAAACACACCGTTTACAAACAGATGGAGAACACAAAGACAAACACACTAGTTTGCCAGTATCAAGATGATTTCCGGGAAACAATTAAAAACCAGCCGGTCCTAAGCCCGGGTAAAGAGGGAAGGTTGGGCATAGGGCTAGCAACCCTACCCCGTAAAACAAATCTAACCGCTAAAGAAACTTCAAAGCACAAACAAAATATAAAAAATGAAAACAAACTTATTCCCCGCTGGAATCGGAGAGGCGAAATGACGCCAGTTGGTGAAAGCCTCCCAGAAGCCAATTGGCCGATGTGTCTTCTCTCGATTAAAGCGAAAGTAAACGTGGGGACATGGAATGTCCGTACGATGTTTGAACCCAGTAAGGCAGCCCAGATTGCAAAGGAGATGAGAAGGTATCACATCGAAGTGCTTGGGATTTACGAAAGCAGATGGAATGGGAGTGGACTCTCCAAACTGTCAACTGGAGAATCAATAATCTACTCAGATATTGTCACCCAGACGACAACCACGAGCACACTGAGGGAGTGGCTATCATGATGTCCTCAAGAGCATCGAAGGCTCTCATGCAGTGGGAACCAATCTCCTCCAGGATGATGACAGCAAGATTCAACTCAAAAGGAAGAAAGGTCACAATCATACAATGTTATGCACCTACAAATAATGCAGAGCAAGAGAAAAAGGAGGATTTCTACAGACAACTTCAATCAACACTGGACAAGACGTCAGTTGGCGATATCAAAATTCTAATGGGCGACATGAATGCCAAACTGGGAGGGGACAACACAGGAAGAGAACTAACCATGGGTCGAGAGGCGCTAGGTGAAATGAATGAGAATGGAGAATTGTTTGCAGAATTCTGTGCATTCAACGATTTGGTAATTGGAGGCAGTGTGTTCAAGCACAAAGATATCCACAAAGCGACATGGATTTCACCAGATGGACACACTAAAAATCAAATCAACTTTATCTCAATCTCAAGAAAATGGAGACGCAGTCTACTTAACACAAGGTCAAGAAGAGGAGCAGATGTAGGTTCAGACCACTCGCCATCTAGTGCAAGGAACCTTCCAAATCAAGTTAAAAGCCTTCAAGGAAGCTGGTGATAGACCTCAATTCAAGTACAACACTCGGAAACTGAAGGATGAAACTACAAAGGAGATCTTCAAGGCAGCCATCAAGACAAAATGGGAGACATCGAGCAACATCCCTGAAGAAACCTGTGTGGAAGAACACTGGAAGTCTTTGAAAGCTATGTGGAAAGAAACCTGCACAGGCGTATTAGGAAGGAAGAAGAAAGAAGACAAGGAATGGATCTCGATGGATACCTGGGAGCTGATAGAGGAGAGGAGGATGGTGAAGCAGAAGATAAACCAGTGCAAGGATGCTCAACGACAACAGGAACTGAGCACAATGTATAAAACACTGGACAAAGAAGTAAAGAAGAGTGCACGCAAAGACAAAAGACACTTCTACGAAACACTGGCAAGTGAAGCAGAACAGGCTGCAGGTAAGAGAGACCTGACGACATTGTATCAAATAACCAGGTTGCTATCAGGCAAGAGACCAACACAGATGAAACCAATAAAAGATGAAGAAGGGAATTTAATTACAAAAGAAGAGAAACAGAGGAAACGATGGGCCGACCACTTCAAGAAGCTCTTGAATCGACCACCACCTGCACTTCGTCCAGAAATACCACCTGCAGCCGCTGAATTACAAGTGAACATAAATCCCCCAACGAGAATGGAAGTCCTGAACGCCATAAAGCTACTGAAATGCGGGAAAGCAGCAGGACCAGATGGAATACCGCCAGAAGCACTGAGAACAGATGCAGAGACAACAGCGGACATGCTCACACCACACCACTATTGCAGAAGGTGTGGAAGGAAGAGAAGGTACCTGACGATTGGAAGAAGGGTTGCCTTGTCAAACTGCCGAAGAAAGGAGACCTCAGTGCTTGCAAGAACTGGCGCGGAATCACTCTCCTGTCCACCCCAAGTAAAATATTAGGCCGCATCATCCTGGAGAGGCTTAAAGATGCACTGGATTCAAAACTGAAACCGGAACAGGCAGGCTTCAGGAAGTACAAATCATGTGCAGACCAAATTGCAACGCTTAGCATCATCATAGAACAGAGCATAGAATGGCAATCAGCTCTCTACCTCAACTTCATCGACTTTGAGAAGGCCTTTGACAGCGTCGACCCAGAAGTAATTTGGAAACTGCTTCAATACTACGGAGTACCGCAAACCTTTATCCACATCATTCAACAACTATATGAAGATGCTACATGCCAAGTAATTCACAATGGGAAGCTCAGTGATACTTTTGAAGTGAAGACAGGAGTGAAACAAGGTTGCCTACTATCCCCCATGATATTCCTTATTGTGGTGAACTGGATCATGCAGCAAACAGTGGGGAGCGAGAAGAGGGGGATACGGCTGGACTGCGGAAAAGAACCTAGAAGACTTGGATTTCGCCGATGATTTGTGCCTAATGTCACATAAACTTGAAGATCTGCAGGCAAAAACTAACAAGTTGATAGAAGAGGCAGCGAAGACGGGACTTCAGGTGAATATAGAGAAGACAGAGGTGATGAAGATACCGCACCACCACCATCAACAACAACAAAAAACTCCAGTCACCATCAACGGGAGAAACTTAAAGGAAGTAACCTCCTTCACTTATCTAGGAAGCACTGTTTCAACTACAGGCGGGACGGATGAAGACGTCAAAGTCAGAATCGGAAAAGCAAGACAGGCGTTCATTAGCCTGAAACCAGTGTGGAGGAGATCTTCTGCACTCAGCATGCGGAACAAGATACGGATTTTCAACACCAACGTCAAGTCAGTGCTTCTGTATGGTTCAGAGACTTGGCGCGTCACGAAAGGCATTTCCAATAAACTACAGACATTCATCAACAACTGCTTACGCTCGCTACTGAAGATCAGATGGATTGCCAGAAAGAATAAGCAACAAGGAACTCTGGGAACGAACCAACCAAGAACCTATCACGCAACAAATATGCACTGTGAGGAAGTGGAGATGGATTGGCCATGCACTGAGAAGGCCGACTGAGGACATAACGCGTCAGGCCCTCGAGTGGAATCCCCATGGGAAGCGACGAGTTGGGCGTCCGAGGTGAGGGTGACATGGAGGAGGTCGTGCGAGGAGGAAATGAGAGCTTCTGGGCTGTCGTGGGACCAGGTCCGAACGATCTCAGAGGTCACTGGAGGCGTGCTACTGAAGCCCTATGTTTCACTAGGAACCCAAGGGACTAATAATATAATATTAATAATAATGCTTTATAGACGCCCTTGAGTATAAACTTAGTTCAAGGAAATAGGACTAACTTGACAACTCTCTTAAAGATATCATAAGATCCAGCCTTCCGGCCTGTTTTCTTATCGAAGTACCAAGCTGTCTTTCTGCATAGTTCTTCAAGCTGTTCATCGGTTTCATAATTCAACTTATCAGCAACATTCCTTAAGATTTGATTGACCTGTACCAAAAATCAGCGCAAAACAGGGGAACAAACCGCTTTTGCTTTGGCGAATCTCTCCTTGCACTTCGTTATCTCTTCAGCTGACGCTCTTCTTTTAGACAAATCAATATATCCTGACATAAAAAGAATGTAGTCAACTACCTTTAGCACTATCAACCCGTACAACTGTCACCTCCGTGTTAGACCCAATTCGGACAAGCTTGCTTATAGATCGTATACGCCGACGTGACAACTCACTATGTAATATCATTCCTCCGATATTCTTGTATTCCAGCAGCTCTACATAGCTACCCATTGACTGTATGACTTTCACTGTCACAACCACTACATCCCCAACCTCGGGAAATAAATCCTCATAAAACCTGCACTGGATAGGCATCAGCAACTAACAAACTGAAGTATGTGTTAGCGTCTGAAGCCAGGCCAACGTGATAACACAATTGATTTGAGCACGTGTACCGATAGTTTAACGTGTCCCGCCTTCAATCCAAAACCCGTTTCAATATCCCATATCAATTTTTCGAGCTTGTATACACCAGTGATATTTCCGCGCTCACTTATATGTCTTTCGGACTGTTTCCAAATCTTTTTGGGATTCTGATGCCGTAAATTCACCTACCTGCCTAGTGAATTGCTGGTGAACCCGACGGGTGGTTAGGTATTGGTCAAATTTGTACTCAGGTGTGGGCTTTGTCCTTGGTCTGTGGCCCGAATGAGTTCTCCGAATTTCATATCACCAGAAAGTTGTTCGAGACGGTCGCTGGAGGTGGACGAGGAAAATGAGGGTAAAATCACGGAAAACAAATCAGCGGAAATTAGAGAAAACTGAAGAAAAAGTAGTGGCGACGAGAAGGGAACAGGTGATATAGAGAACCCTAATAAATGAGGTGAAACCATAGGGTCAGTTGTAAGTAAAAATTTAAAATTTTGCACTGTGATCTGAAAACAGAGTCGACATCCGAAGTGCTAGATACGCACCCCCAAGAGTAAAAGTAATAGCAATAACTGTTCCTTCTAGGTTGTGAAAACAAGTTCCCGAAATTGCTTGTTGCAACAGAGAGTTATAGCTGTAGGAAACTACACGTCAAAAGCGGGCTCTTAGAGGCAGGCGACAAGAAATTTCGTGCCTTTTGCGATTTTTGTGCTTTTACTCTGCATAACCAAAGAGACTATGTTTATTCCATTCCATGACTTCGATAAGAAGACTTTTCAGACGTCTTAAGGACACGATGATTTTCGTCAGTTTTTCTGGCGGTTCTTTCGTTCCCTTATGCCCTCAGTATGGCTACCAGGATATCTGAGTTAGCATATGTGCTTTAGTCAAAGTCACGTGAAGTCGTATCAACAACGTAACGTATTTCCCGCTAGCAGCAAATCCCCAGAAACACATACCTCCTCTTTCGCCCCTTCTTCCCGAAATATCTGTGACGGAAGAAGAAACTTGGGTCGAAGATGCATTCCTTCGAACGTTAGTTCTATGGCTAGGTTTAGTTAGGGCAAAACTTGTGGATAAAAGTGTGAAATGCCGCTCTAGCTTGCGGGACCAATATACAAGCGATCATGAGTTAATTCTCCAAGACTTCGGTGGTGGCCGCCGCCACGAACTCCCAGCAGGCTGTGTACACCAGCTAATAGGTTCAACATGCGAATACTAGTGGATAAATTAGATACAATAAGGATTTCTTGATCTGTTTACTTCCTTCTAATTTGTGAGTGCTATATTCGTCACTCCCTTAAGTGAACATTGAACGAACCTTGAGAGTTAGTCCAAGATCATTTTAACTTCATTATCCACTGACGTTCCACAATTATACTCGGCCCGACTATCAACACTGCATCTTCTTACATTTAGCAAAAGTCTTGTTACAGGTCTAGCTTGTCTCTAGAGTTTCACTCGGAAAAGTGGATTACATGGTGTTCTACCTTGCTTGTCTCTGTAGGCTGGTGAGTAATGAATCAAGAAATGGTTAACATTAGTTTAGCCAAGCAAGCTGACTGCAATCTATGTGGCTTGTACGTGCCATTACCTTAAAATCGACATCGGGACCACATTCTTTATTCTCATTGAGGCCTGATGAACTTCCTTACTGCCTCCGGCCTCATGATTTATTTAATATCAATTCTCATTGGTTAACTCTCCTTATCTCCTATTTTCGCGAATGTGAGTGCATGAACCATGAACGGGGCATGACGTACCTAGGAGGGGAATTTCGTCAGTTTAGTAAACGGATTGTAGTTAGACAAATACACCACAACTTCCTATTCTTCGGTTACGCGAAAACGCAACGGCTGAGCCAGCTTAACATTAAGTTTAAGTGATAACTGATGTACTGGGACTACTTTCCGGCAAAAATCGCGCTGTGGCGTGGCTTATGGGGCCAAAATTCCGCCATGTCCTTTCAAACCTGCCCTTGGCTTCTTGCATCACCCTAAAGATTTGTGGCACTGACAGCTTACACATACTTCGAAGGTGAATTCACTTTCTGACCTGGCGCCGAGCGAACTGTAGAAGTTCACCGATTCTCCAGTGGATAAAGCTCAGCACTGCACACCATGCTCTTGGCTGGGGGACATTCACCTCCTCTCAAAGAAGCACTCTGTGAGAAATGGACTTGGTTTCCGTCATGTTTTAAGGGATCATTCTGGTCGGTTTATTAGGCGTGATACGCAGTGAAACAGCAAAATTTCCGGGACTACGTTTCGGACACAGTTTGTTGCTAGTGGTTGTATCAACGTAGTTCCACAACCTCTATGTGCGGCCCAATTCTCTTGAATCTTTTCGTCGCCTTTGTGATGTACATAGTGGGACTGCCTATATCTGGAACGCTCGCTGTATCATCCCCAAAGAGGATGCGAAAACTAGAACTGTATTACTCATCTCTCAAGGTTTTTCTGACTATCTTGTCACAAATGTGGTCGGTCAGCCGTTCCCGAACGTTATCCATGGAATAACACTACTCCACTGTTTGTTGCGTCTAGTAAACTAGCTAGAATGAAGTTACATTCTGTCACGGTGCTCAAGCTTCACGCCTATGAATTCAATTTATTGGATGCTTCCGGGTATTCCCTACTAGGTATGAGTTTGACATATTCAATGAAATCTATTAGCATCAAGCTCCCTTCGCTTTTTCAACCCTGTTCAGCAGTAAAAATGAGGAACCTACACTTAGTGGGTGAATTTGTATCACAAGCCGATCAGCGGACTCGACTAAGACTAACGGATAAACCCTTGTATGATCCGCTCAGTAGTCAAACCTCAAGGCTGATTTGCAAATCCACGGTAATTTATCTGTCGCATCCATCCTGCATTTAATCTGGAAGCACGGAATTTCGGTTTGGACCAGTGAACTACTGGCGGCGTAGCAAGATGTAGTGGGTGATGATGTGGAATCAACTCAGGAAGACGGATACCAACGATCACAATCACTTGACAGGAGTGGAGAGGAATCCCGAAGGTGGGCAAATGGCGTATGTCATAGCGTACGCTAGTTATATATGCTCACTCGTTCAACGACTGAATGGTCGTATTTTTTTCGATTTGCAAAGGATATACAGAAACAACATCCTGGGTTCCCTCAGACGTCAGTTGCAGGAAGCAACATGAAAGAAAAAACTAAAAGGAACATCCACCTCTTTGGAAAGGGTATGAGTAACATCAAATATACAACCGTGGATGCCAAGTACTATAAAAATGACATTGGTTGAGGCTCCTTATGGGAACAAAAAATACGTGGTAAGGTAACAGAACGTGTAAGAAAGACGCATTCATGCAAGCTTGAAATTCGATGCTGGAATCTTTTTGCATCGCCTACGTTTATCAAACCGGAGCTGACTCCCTTGTGCTCGCCGTAGCTGCCATCAGTACCAACACATATGTCGGCTTCGCCAAAGATTTTCGACTGTTTCATGCTTGTTCCTTGATTGACGTGGTGCGTGATGGACTGATATTCTAGCTACTGAGGTTGCTGTCTGAACAATTTGAAGGTAACAGAGCAAAACCACCACTAAGATGCTCTTTTAAGTGAGGCTGGTCACGTGACCAACAATGCCCTCAACAACTAAAAAGAGAAACAGATCTGGTCCGGGGTCACTTTTTGAAGCCCTTTGTGCAAGTGTCATAACTCCTTGTCCGCTGTAGCACGCATCAATTACCATCAGGGGGAGAAATCTAAAGGAAGTCACCTCTTTCATCTACCTGCCTTGTCAGCATCGTCTCAGCCACAAGCGGCACAACACAAATGAGGATGTCAAAGCCAGGATCGGAAACACAGCGAGACAAGCCTTCCTGCGTCGATCTGAAATAATCAGTGTGGAGATCTACTGCACTGCACTCGACATAAGGCGTGAACACGATCCGGATTTTCAACACTAGTGTCAGTCAATTCACTTCTTCCATTTGACGGTTCAGAGACTTGGCGCGTTAAGAAAGGCATTTCCAACAAACTGTAGGCATACATCAACAGCTGCCGCCTATGCTCACTCGATACTGACACTGAAGATCAGATTGCCAGAATAATAAGAATAAGCAACAAGGAACTTTGGTGGCCCCGCAAAGAACCAACCAGAAACCCATCGCCAATCGAATATGCACAATAAAGTGGGGATGGACTGGGCATACACTGAGGCCCCGGAGTGAGACCCAAATGGGAAACGACAAGTTGGTTGTCCGAGGGCGACATGGGGGAGATCGTGTGAGGAAGAAGTGAAGGCCAATGGGTAGCTGCGGAGCCAGGTTCAGAAGACTGCAGAGAAGAGATTGAAATGGCGACGTGCCATCGAGGTCTCTTGTTCCATTAGGAACCTAGAGGACAAGTAAATAATAAATAAAGGTTCATACAGCCGTAACAGTTGTCACGCGCCTTGCCATTGTCACAAATACTCCCCAAGAGTACCAGTCAGGTTCCGTTGAAAGTATTGAGAGCTGCATACAACGCTTAAGTTCGGACTACCCAAAACATGTCGCCTTATACCGGAAGCGTAAGTTATCGGCAGCACGTTTCTCATAAATCCAAATAATTCTTCCCCGGACTGTAGACGGCTGCATCGTTGTTAATACGTAGTAGGAAACATCCAGATAAGTGCGTAACGAAACTGTTTTCGATGTAATCGTGCAATCTGGTAGTTCTGCGAACCTCAAAAACCTGAAAACACTGTAGCAATCGATAGCTAGAATGATGAGGGGGGAGATTAACTGAAAGAGCAAGGCCTGCTCATCTATGTTTTGCGAACGGCGACCAAATGAAAATATTACGAGGTCACTAAATGGCTAGGCTAACGCCAGTTTGCTCTGACACTTCTGGTGGCTTAGCTTTCATATTGTGTGGTAAAAAAGGCCTGAACACTAATGGCTATTCACAAGAAAGAAAGGCTGATATCGTCGAGTAAAAGTGGGGAGGTACTTGCCCGATATCGCCTTAAACAGAAATTCTGTGACGAGCTTAGTTCGACTGCCTTCCTGAA